TATGAAAACCCTACCTCATACCATCAACAATGCTTTCCTTTTTCTCTGCTGTTCTCAAGCCTCACCTAAACAAGAAACACTCCTTCCTTTAACAGATAACTCATTTTTCCTCTAGAAGAAAATATCAAATCTCCAACTTGAAAACCTGAAGGGTAACAAAGTACCATAGGGTTCATGATGGTTTTTTTCTCTCTCAGCTGTCTCGTATCCAGAGAGAGACAGTAATTATTGTTTTACCTCTCACCTAAGAGATAGATAAAAACAGGCTGGAGTTGCATTGCTGTTTTGCACTACAACTGCTTGTTTGCAAGGCTGTCTGAACTACTTGAATGCTTTTTGACAGTAATGCTCCTCAGGTGCAAACAGACCGGTTCCTCATGCTTAGAAGGAGGCCACTTAGATGTCCCCAGAGCTTGGGTCTATGCCATACCAGCAGTGTTCAAACAGTGTATTTGCAGTGGTCCCTTGCAATCTGTTCCTCTTTCCATCAGCACAGTGCTGAGTGACATTCCCTTTCCACCTGCGTGGACTGCACAGGTACATGACTAGATTTCAGAAGTACAAGTGTAACAGAACTGAAACAACAGTAATGACATTAATTGCTTTTAATCTCTGCTCTTTTTAGCAACTGTCTTTATCCCAACCACCAAAGAATCTCCTGTTACAACCAAGCAATTATCTACTGTCTTCTCCTGATGAACTTCTTGCTTTCTCTACCTTCTACTTTTCAGCCTTCAAGGAAACAATTCCACCCTACAGGTATCTCAATATAGCTTTTTGGTCCAGTTTTTCAGCATTTTGTCTGAGTGTCTGAATCAAGACCTCCTAAACCTCCCAAATGCTGTTTAGGCAAAGGAAGATTTTTTTTTTTTTCCATTCACAAAGTCATCAGCTTGGTTCAGGTTTTACCTCACTCACCTTTTGTAGCTCACTCCGAAACAGCTTGCAGTTATAAGTTCAACAATACTACTATGCTCAACCCTTGCACTGTTTCTGACTTGGGCAGGCTGTCACCCAGATGTTCAGCAAACCACATCTGGGCTGCTAATTCAACACTTCCCTATAGCTCCAGCATTACTTTACCATGTGGTACTTGTCTGAGCTGAGTACAGCTCTACAGACTTGGCTCAGGTGTAGCAAAGTTTAAATAACTCTGCATCAGACTTAGACTTGGGAGACCGAAGTCAGCTGGAAGCCATGGCATTCATACCACAGCTGCATCAATTCCTAGTCAGGCAAAGAGGATAACAGAACACAGACTTGGGGACTTTGCAAACACACTATTCCACAGCGAATTACAGTCTAGTCATGCCTAACGTAAATAAAGGCGAGTCCATGCTGTGTTACACATGAGACATAGCAGAAGAGAAATGCAGAGAAAAGCAGACAACACTGAAAGGATCACAAGCACAGGGAGATGAAGAAACTCCCAAAGTAATGTCTGCATTTTTTATCCTGCAGAGACTGGAGTCACAGATAAGCTGGAGAACCACTGAGATGAAGGCACTGAAGCAGTAAGTCCGTCCCAAATTTTCAGTGCTGAGAGAAGCACAAGATGGATGTAAAATAGATGGAAGGAATACTCAGCCAGATCCATGGTGGGAAAAATGGCAAAGTTGCAGAGTTGGAGTGTGAGGACCAGGAAATCCCCTACATCTTGAAACAGAGTAATTGTCTACAGGGCAGACTAGCATGTTCTTCCTCTGACAGTAGAAGTGATAGAGTGATATAACCCCAAACACACAAAGCCATGATGAGCAGAAAGGGGGAATGGAACCTAAAACAGTTTGGACTAGTCTGTAACTGGAAGTTGCCTTCAGTAGATACTTGAAATGATCGTGTATGTCTTGACAGTCAAGAGTAAGTATTGGTTTCATTACAGAATGTGTTACATCAGTTGAGTTTGGGAATGTGCTGGAAATTCCCAGTAGGATGAATGAGAATCATATCATGCAAAACAATATCACGGCACATGGCATTTGCAGGGGAAGAAGGCAGCAGACGAAAGAGGCGCTCGAGCTGAAAAAAAGCTGCAAGGAATGTGACATCTGCTAAATCAGATAAAGATACTGCTATGTGTCTAAAGGAAGGACGTGCCGTACAAGCACAGTATTCCAGACTGACACCCATGATGTTCATGGAAGAAGGAGGCATATGAAGTGGGACAGCAAATGCTAATCATAATACAGGAAAAGGACAGCAAGGGCAGACTTATCTGGGACATCAACAAGCAGTAGGGGGTTGTTAGTATTGTGAGTGTGATCAGGGAAAAAAGGCTTAGATGAAAAAGTACCCCAGTTAGAGGATGTGACACTGCTGTCTGCTTTCACAACAGGAGCACGAAAAGTCAGCACCAGCCTAGGAAATGGAGGAGTGAAGCAGGCCAGGAGTTGGAGGACAGGATGATTCTCAGGAGAAAGGATCATTTTCTCTCTGCTTTAGAAACTGGACTGTTGACTGAAGGTTCTGGGAAAAATACCTGTGCACAAAGAATGTATAATTTGGGATAATACAGTTTCATGTAGAAGGTATCTAGGCTGGGAGGGCTGGAGAGAGACTTCTGAAAGGGTATACAAGCCTGTTTTATCAACCTCAGGCCAGGAAAGATACCAACCATATAATTCAAGACTTGTGTTTGATTCCTCTGAGGTTTAATTGCACACTTGTAAATAAAACATTAATGAAATGTCTCCTTTAAAGCTTGATATATATTAAAATATTAAGAGGAAGACAAGAACTGTGAAAACCACATTGCCCTACTGGTTTGTTCAGGCTTCAGCTCTCCTGAGGGAGAGACTGAAGAAACAATTTATACTTTATGCAAAGCCCTAGGACCATGAACACTTCTTTCCAGGCAGAATAAAAAGGATAAAGTGTGAAATATCTGGGGCATGCTGCAGCAGGATTTCTGTTGATGTCAGGTGTATTTTCCTAGCATAACTGACCACCTGCTGCTTCAGAGACACTGACTCCCAAATAAATGTTTTAACCTCCATTTTGCAGATCCACCAAAAAAACCCAAACCAACTCAACAAACAAAAACAATAAATTGCATGCCTGCCTGTGTGAAAAAGAGGAAGGGTGCCCCAGTGTAATTGCACAACTTATTCAGGATGCTTAAGCATCCCACCACAAAGCATCCCTTTGAAGACAGTTACCAGGCTATTTCTGCATTCTGTGGAGATATGCAGGCCCTTTGAATGATTCATCTCATGTGATGGCACACAACAGAAATAGCTGGATGAAATCCACTTTGAAAATGCCTCCCCCAGCAGTTCATTTCCCAACCGACCTTTAAATAACAGGTACATCTACCAGTGGGCTCTTGCCACACAGGGATGGAGACTACACACTTAAAACCTCTTCACAGCTTTCCCAATTTACAGCCATACTCCCATCTTTGCACAAAAAGAGCCAAAACTGAAAAAGGAGACACCTTTTTTCTGCCAACAAGCCCAAGATGCTGTTTGCTAATGCATTTCCCTTTGTAGCCTCAGCTGCACTGGAAAACAAGGAAAATTCTGTGCTAACTAAAGGAGTGAACAGTTCATGCATGACACATTCTGGACTGCTGCTGAGATGGATGGCAGAGGGAAATGGTGGTTCTCTCTGTAACCTTTGTACAACTGATCCCCCACTAAATTAGCCCCAGAGAAGCCTGCTTGTAGCAAAGATGGAGAGAGATCCAAGGGCAATGCACACAGTTAAATCAATATGAACAGGGGCATTTGCAGTAATGGCATCTTATGGCCATCTTTATCAACAAATCTCCAGTGCAAAATGAAACTATACTAGCAAAACACCTTTGTAGTGGGTCGAGAGATGAAAGTACACCTCCATGTTAACTATGCTGCCTTCCCCTTTGCACTGATTTGGGAATACACATATAATGTTAAGAAAATTGAATCATATACACTTAGCGCCCCTGCACTCTGCAGTCAACACTACTAACAGCACAGTCAAAATTCTCAAAGCCTATCCTTACACTGTTACATAGGCAAAACTCATTCTAAAATCAGTGGGAAAAATGGGTGAATAAAGACTGGAAAAGAACCAAAGTCCCAATTCAACTCTCAGCTGATCTGTTCAGTGTGACCATCAGCAATGGAAACACTTTCCATTTTCACCATCATGATTACAGTTGGGCTCAATAATCCAAATTTTGCCTCTTCTTAATTCCAGCATAAACTGGGTAGAGATGCAAAACAGAATTTAGCATCTAATTTCTCAAGGTTAAGCCGTAAGGTAATCGTAGCAAACTGGAAACAAATCAGCCTCTGAGGCTTTTTTCCCTCCTCTTACTGCCATTTTCCCATAACTGTCTGAAAGGACTTTTTTTTTTAACAAAAGTTCTTATTTCCTCTAGTGCCAGGCACCACATTGTGTTTGGCATGCCTCTATTTCTGTACGTCTCTGATAGCCTTTCCTCCACAGATGTCTATATAAAGTTCACATTAGTCAGTTCTTCAAACTAGGTATGAACATCAATGCAGACGATTTTGTTCCAAGCACACAGCTTTTCTTACGTATGTGCTCTGTTGTTCATTTTTGCTTCCACAGAGACCACAGAATTGCTACGTACCCAGAGAAATCACAATGTCTGCGATGCTTAACACAGGCAGTATGCTCTCATAACGGCACATTTTCACTGTCAGCAATGAGGCCTGACACCACAGCAGCTTATGGCAGTTTGCTGGGGGAACATGGAGGTTTCTTTTTGACAATGGGGTTGTTTGTTTGTTTTTTTTTTTACCTTTTCCTAATTCCCTTCCAGAAATGACATTCCTTGAAAATGCATGTGTAAAAATAAATGAAGAAAAGAAAACAGGAAACAACCAGCACAAAACCTCCTCACAGTTAATACCGTAACATTTCTTGTGTAAATGATTAGGGTCTCGCACCATCTGAAGTGAGGAGAAAAAGGGGCAATATATTTGACTCATTACATCCATTACAAGAGTTAGAGATACAAAAAAGAAAAAAAAAAAGGTTATAGTTACCTCTGTTGAGTGAAGCTGAACTGTTTATATCTCCAGTAATAAAGGAAGACTCGGACTGCTTTCGAACTGTGTCATTCCACATCCTACGAATCCGGCTCTGAAGAGGGATTGAACCACAGCAGGTAATGAATTTTTAGCAGCCGCAGATAGGTTTCTTTCTGCCTCACTAAAGATGGGCTATTGGGGTGCCTAGCTCAGGATGAGACTTGTTTCTATCCAGCTGTAAGCAAGCAGTTGCTGTTTGGTTATAACCATCTTGTGCATACCAAACACTGTCTGCCTAACTTCATAACACAAACGCCTCTCTCAAATAAGAAGTGCATAATAGGATTGCTCATTTTGCTTACCTCTTAATTAAAAGAAAGCAATAGAAATCACTTGTGAGAGGAACTCAAACCCATGCAAGCTCAAGATTTACCAATATTGCACCAAATAACTGAAAAATAACTTACACACAGAAGCATGCACATTTCCCATATTACCTAGGATAGTCTGTGTCAGTTTTCTGCAAAGCATTGAACAGTTGCTTTGTTTCTTGGTGTCCCTGAATGTGTGGAAGTTTTTGTAGCTACTATCCATATTGGGGAATGTAGGCAAAAAAAAAAAAAAAAAAAAAAAAAAAAAAAACCACAGCAAATGAGTAATTTCTATTTTTCCCTACTGAAAAATCCGTAATGATTTTGCTATCAGTGTTATGGCTTCTGCTGGTGGGGAAACAATGTCCCAAACATGTTGGTCTTCTGTTTTGCTTCTCAGACATGAAGTAGAGCATTTACTTTTGTGGCTTTTACACCACTGCCTTGCTCTTTCCCCACTAGACCTTTCAAAAAAATCAAAAAGTCAGCTGTGCACATCTTGTGAACATCCTGCTGCAGACCCACGCCTCATCTCACACAGTATGTTGAATGTATTCCACAGCTACATGAAAGGACTGCTAGGCCATCTTGGAGATCCAGAATGCTGTTTGCCACTGTGGCAGACTATGTTTCTCCTAGTCAGTGAAAAGCCAGTGCTCCCCATAGCGGGGTCTTAGCCATGTGAGATCTCCCAGGGCTCACTTGGTCACAGCTTGTTCTCCAGTCGTTAACCACGTACTAATGGCATCTCCTAAGCATGCATTAGTCCTCTAGAAATTGAACCAGAACGTAACATGCAGCCCGTGGACTTTTATAGCGGTTCTTTTTCACCTGGGCATTTAATCTATTGCATTCCTCTGACATGATCCATATGGATTAACTATTCTGTACCCTAAGTGCTTTTCAGAGGACAAAACAAAAGAGATCTAATGAGTTGTGCTCCTCTTGGACTTTTCATAAATCAGGAGTCAGATATATTCTACAGCGCAGATCTACATCTACTCTCTTTCTCCCACAAGAGGTTTCTCCTGCCTCTGATAGGGCTCAAACACTTCCACTCTTTCCAAGAACAAGCTTGTAACAGAAAATAACCAACCACAGTACCTCAAGCACTCCCTGTGACAAGGGGACTGCCCTCAGGAGTCAGTGCAGTGCTGAGGCTGCCAAGGAGGAGGCCCACATCAATGTTACTGGATACAGTATCTTTGTATGTTATTGATTACTGTGGGATTTGACGGCCTACTGGGGAGAAGCTCCATATTCTATTGCTGTTATTTGCCCTGTATTACATCCACACCTAAGTAAATGCCAAAGTGGAGTTCTTGGATGACATTTTGGAAGCCATTCAAAATAAATAACAATTTGCTCCAAGACATAAATCACAAACTGTGTTTTCCTGGGAGGTTGTAAACTGGTATTCGCTGCATGTGTTTCATAGTTTAATAGCTGAACTGTCACATATAATTACTTCCATTAGTAATACTGAATAAATTTGTATTTGGTTTCTATTGATTAAGAAGTAAGCTTCTTCATTCTCCATCGTTCCATAAATCTGTTCTTGTACATACAAGTTAGCTTGAAAATGACTAAAATTACAAGCTACACAAAATATGAAACTTAGGTGACCAAAACATAACAAATCCTGTGACTGAATGAGATAATATGGCCCCAGTGGGTTACTTTAAGAGATAAGCTGAGGAAAATCAAGTGAGATAATGGAACTGATCAAACCACTGAATGTCAGAAACTAAGCCTTTTCACTATGAAGGCTATTGCAGCACTCTTGTAGTCTTTCTTTTTTTTTTTTTTTTTTTAAGCAAGAAAAACAGTTATTTTATGATTTCTGTACGTGGTGACAGCAGTGACAACAACCGTGAGATGGCAATTAAAGGACATGCTGGGTTGCAGTACAGCCAACAAAATGCTCCCAAGCTCCTGATCTCCACAGAGAGCAGGTAGGATAGCTCAGGTTATGAGCAGTCACCTGCCTCTGAGAGGCAAATGTGGACTTTTTGTGCCCACTGCAATTATTCAGGAGGTTCTTGGAGAGGTACTAATTGCAAACAAATCCCAAGAGAAGCAACCATGTTGAATTCAGGTCTGGGAAATGGGGAAATCTCTGCAGCTGCAATGTAGGTAGCTCTATGGCAGCTTCTTGGACTCCTACCAAACTTGCTGGAGGGTGAGGCACAGAGGAGAGCTTCTCACCCAACATGGAAATTGATGCAGAAATGCCAAGTCTTGGGGCAAGGACAAGAAGCATGGGTTACCTGTGAGCCTGTGGAATATCTTCCAGGTGTCCGTGACCCCGAGGTTTTTCCTGAGCCAATAGAGCTCTCTGTACTTTTCCCACTACAGCAATGTGTGCGCAGGCATTTTCCGTACTCTTTACGTACCTAGCCAAGGAAACAGTAATGGTGGTTAGTGGGTAGCTCCTCCTCCACCCCACAGCCTTAAAACTGTCAACATGGCTGCTGATTTTTCCTTGGTGGTTCATTAAAATGATAGCTATTGTGGGAAATGAGCCTATTTTACACCTTGCAGCTGACTGCTCCTGCAGTGTTAGCTCACCATTTATGAGGGCGTAAGGGACTGCTTTTATCTGGCAAAGCTGCTCATTGACACCAGTCAGTTGTAGCTACCTCTGAGGCACATCAAAGGAGCACTGCAGAAACTGCAGATACACTATTTATGACTGAAAATTAATATCCTCATAGATTTGATGTAAACTGGCATATTGGCTCATCAAGGTACTAAAAGTTATTGCTTCTGGCAGGGGACTAAAAAGAAAGATTCCAAAAGAAACTTATAAAAGCTATTGATTTAAAAAATATATATATATATATATATATATATATTTATTGCAGTTAAACTGAAATTTGAGGAAACTGTACAGCCAGTAGCCCTAGAGACTGTATTGTCAGTCTGTAGGGGCAGCTAGAGCCTGCTTCTCCACAGCACTGTGCCGGGCATGTTTTAAATGGGCACTGCAGGCAAACCTGGACACCTCTTCACCTGCAGGAAAGCAATGTCACCTTCATGGGAACTGTGCTGAGCTGTGCCAGGGCAGGAGCTGGGCTTTGGCTGAGCTTCATGTCTGCGTATGTGTGATTTTAATAGGCAGCAACACCCAGAAAGTAAATGGGGCTAGGCTGAAAATGAACACATTGCACTGAAAAACCAAACGCAGGTCATGTTGCCCATTGATGAAAAAAAATAATAATAATACACACATGAACTAAAACACCAGTTGTGATTACTTGGAGCACACAGTTAGCTGCAAAATGTCTCTAGACCATCTACGAGCATTTGAAAACTCTGCAGAACAACTGTTTAAACAGCAAATTACAGCTTTTTCATTAGGCTTTTCCTTAAGAGCCTGAGACAAACACAATACCACGAGTGCCCAATACGCTCGAGTGCCTAATCAATCCTTTGCTGAGGGAAAATAATTCAATTGCTTTAATTAGCCACCCACTGCTTGCCTCTCTGCAGCTTTCTGCTGATTTTCTAGTCCATGATAGATAGGATTTTTTTTTCCCCCTCTCAAACCATTCCTCTTTCAGCTCTCGGATCAGAGAGATGCACCCCCCCACAGCCAGCTACTGGTTGCACTCTCCTCTCCTCTATGCAGTTGTAAATCAGGAACAACCCCAAAGGCATCAGTGGTGGTTTAAGAGCATAGACTGGCTTGAGGCAGAATGGCAGAAGGGATTTGAATGCCTACTGAACACCCTAGGAGGGTACAGTGCCATGATGGGATGCTGTGCTGGAGACTGAGGCAGCTTAGTTACATTGACAGATTGGGACTCAGATGTATCCACATGTAAACTCTTCTATATGCTTATCTTGGATATAGAGTTTGGCCTGTGAAACCAAGATGTACATCAACAATTATCAGTAGGTTTGCACAGACCGAGAGAGATGTGCACTACTAAGTTCCAGTGGAGAATAAAATGGTTCTTAAAAATATTTATTACTGACTGTCAAAGTTTGTAAATTTGATCTACATATGCATGAGGAGATTTTTATTTCTCTTTTTCCAACTGGGATTTACCTAAGTTATTCCACTGTTACCTCGCAATGTTAATTGGGGCATATTTCAAGTTCCACCAAGAAGTACTTACTGTGCATGGAAGATTTTCAAAAACCCACATTACAACCAAGCTATGCAAAAGCTAGCGAACTGTTGCAGAGCGTGGCTCCTTCTGCTCTTGAAAAAGTAGGAGAAGCAGCCCGTTACATACTTTCTCCAATATATACTACTACAGAAAGGGGCTGTTTCCTGCAAGGACTGCAAATGAAGATGTATAGCCCCATTTTGCTGTGACACACAAGGACCCTCTGGATGCTTGTGGTGCTACTTACGCCTCACACTGGTGTAAGGAAAAGGAGAATCTGGCCGACAGCAGGCAGAGCCCTTTTGCAGGTTTGCTATCGCAAAGCCCTGCAAAGCACGAGTTGCCTTGTGCGCTGCCTCCAATGTGCTCACCGCTAGCACCCTGGCTGCTGAAATGCCATTGCCACATATCTTCGTTATTGCCTCACTCCCCTGCCAGTTTCCACTCTAAATACCACCCCTATTAGGCACACGGAGACAAATCTGCTCGATCTGAATTCAGGGCACATGCGCCAACACTATGCTGTGGTTGTTAGGCAACAAAACACACTGTTACCACCGCTTGTGCCGCTGAGAACCGTCTGTCTTACCTTTTTCTGGAGGACACAATGGAAAATGAATATAAACATTCCCTGCAGAGAATTGAATATGGTGAAGAGATACGCCATGATGACTGTGCTTTCATTAATATACATGAGTCCAAATGCCCAGGTCAGTCCTAATAGGCAGAGCAGGGCTATCGCACCTATCACCCAGGACCTGTTAGAAGAAACAAAACAAAAAAAAAGAAAAGGATTGGTCTTTCATCTATAAAATATGGCACATGTCTGCAAACAGGGAGAGCTTTGGCCATGGTTTTAGTAAAAAGAAAACAGCACATCAAAATGAGCTGTAGGGATTTTTGTCTTCAGTTGGATGCAGTTTACAAGTCTTGGAGCTTGAGTAAATATACGAAAATGGAAATGTTATGAGAATGGAAATTCATCATAACCAAAGCGTCTGCAGTGTTTCTGGCTTTTTTTCCCCATTTGTTTAATGTAAAAGCAGTGTTTATGTATATGACACAATGTAGATGCCGTTTCTGTAAATGGCAGGAAAAAAAGAAAATAAACCAACCAAAACAACTATGAATGTCACTTTTTTAATGGCCACTGGTTTGCCTGGGGCAGGAGCGCTAGCTGGATTAGCTTCTTTACAACTACCACCAAGACACATTTACTGCTGCCCTTTAGCTGGTCTCCCATAAGAGAGCCAGCCAAACTACAACAAGCAGGTACTTGCCAGATCATCTCCTTGCAAGGATGCTCTCTGACACTGCTTCACACTGCTCCATGGTGAAGGAAAATACAGACACGCGTCTATGTGCCCACACACCATGTCTGCTCCAACAGCAAACTCTGTCCCAGCAAGCTTCTGCAAGGACAGACAGCATCTAACTGTCTTTCCACTGAGAGAAATGGTGCCTCTCTACTCCCCGGAGAGGCCAAGGACAACCAGAGGACCTGGGCCATGGGATTGTTGTTGCATATCATTTTTTCAGTTGGATTTTAGGCAGGCTGGGAGGGCAGGGGAAACATTCCACATTTCCCCTTCCCCGCTAAATAAAGTTAATCATGTGCTAAATTGACTTCTCAGAGGCTGATCTTCCAATATGAGAAAAAGAGGTAGTGTGGAAAGCAGCATGGGGGCAGACTGGGGACCGGATCCTGCTCCTAACCACCAACCTCAATTTCCAAGTTCTTATTTATCTTGACTTTATGAGAATGGCTGCCACATAGGGGAGAGAACCAGCTACCAGCTGGGAGACACAGCTGCACAGCAAGCAGCACTGTGAGCATCCCTTTGACCTTTCCTTCACAATTCTTTCCTCTTCCCTAGAAACAAGCAGGTACTGCATCATAAAAATGAATGAAATAATACCAATCAGTGATGCCTACTTCTGCACCCCTTCCTCACCATTAACCCGTTGGTTCTCCAGAGCAGATAAGTCTGCAGCCAGCCAATATCTCTGTTTCTTTGACTGCCTGAAGCAGCTCTAGCTGCTACCAAAGGCTCATGGAACAATCTGCCTATGTTTTGGTTAACTGAGATGCTCCAGCCCCGCAGAAGCATGAATGGGGCCTGGGAGTATCTGGGTTGCTCTCTCCTAGGCAGGGCATGGGGTAGGAGAGAGAAAGATGAAGCAGCAATAGCTCAGAGGAAAAAGCCCAGTGCAGGGCAGACTGACAGTCTCCCCTGTTGAGACTCCACAGCACCTGCAGCTGTGAATCCCCTTGCTTTTAGCAGGGCTTGTAGCAAACAGAAGCACACTGCTGTTCTATTAATGTTTACTATTGTTTTTCTTTAGGTATTAGAATGAAAATACAGCAATATTCCTTCCACTGGAGTTTATAAAATATGTATTTTCTGAGCACATGGCCAGAAGAGCTCCCCAAGGTAACTGCTTACTTAAGTAGTTCTTTAAAAATCACTATTATGTATCTATCAGACCAGAACAGTTCCTTTGAAGCATTTCCAGCCAATCCCGCTAATAAATATTTAGCATGATGCAAATTGAAAAGGCATTCTCAAAATCCTTTGGTAAGGTAGACACTAGATAACATTTACAGCATTCACCACTTGGTATATTTTTCTCCCTGAGATTCCACCATCAGTGAGAGCACATTATAATTTTAATGGTATGCCAATTTTAAAAATACAAATCTTTTTATGTCATTAATTAAAAAAAAAAAAAAAAAACCTACAAAACAAAAAAACACCAAAAACAAATGAAGTGAAAAATACTGGGTTTTTTTCCTCTCCCTTCTCTTTCTCACCATGATCAAAAGGTTCCTCCAATTACAAAGACTTCTAAAAACGATCCACAGAATATCAGGAAACTATACTGCCCTGCACTGCAGCCAACTCTTGAACCTGATTAAAGAGCCTTAGGCTGCAGATGTGTGAAACAGTTATTGAGCAATGAGAGTGGAAATATGCTACCTTTAGTGATGGAAAGGAATCTTTGGGTTAGAAGACCCTCAACAGTGCAAACTGTACGAGATACAGGATTGTGCTTCAGAAAACAGACCTGGAGATAAAGAGGGCATGGAGATTACTTTGAATGGCTCCATCCCGTGCCCGCAGAAAAAAAGGAATCAAGAAATGAAAGAGAATATGGGAATGATGCTGCAGGAATGAACACAAAGGACTCTTCACCAGAAGAACAAACTGAAAGTCTACTGCAAAGTTGGTCAGCTTTTATTCTGTGTTACTGTGCTTTGCTTTTTGGTTGCAAGAGAGAAAGCACGGATGCCCTAAGGCATGTAATTTCTGAGCATTTTTGGCTTGCTTTGCAGGATTTTTTTTTGGTGTGGCTTGTTTGTGGTTTTTGTTTTTCTTTGTACAGACTTGCTGTTGGTTTTCCACAATTTCTCTTTTCCATAGTGCAATTTTGTAACAATAAAGAAACAAACATATAATGTTTTGGTATAATTGAAAATTAGAGACAATTGGGTACTCCACTGTGGAAGGAGATTATCCGCTGAATACAGATTAGTTTGCACTGCACCCATCAGCCAGAATGGGAATCACATGGGTTATCACACATGCTCTTTTCTGAAAATTTTCTTCTGTATTTACATTACCACAAAGCACCCTCAGTGCTGGAGCACAGTAGACCAGAAGGTTGCTATTGGTATAACAAGTCTGTATTAAACACCATTTCTTCAGAATATTGCATATACTTGAATTCAAGTAACGCCCAATCAAAGAATATACAGCCAATATGGTAGCAATTGGTTGGCAATACATATGCAGAACATTAACTCTGCACGTTAGCTGTATGCCTGGCCATTTTTCTGCACAGTTTGCTCTTCTGCCTCAAATGCGAATGACAGAAGCTTTAATGATTTTTCAATATTGATCTGACAGCTGGTTCATGGGACCACACTGATAAATGAAATTTATCAGCCATTCAGGTCATTCTTACTTGATGAAGGGTCTGTTATCCTCATAGCTAAAGAATGCGTAGACATAAAGACAAGAACACCAACATTAGAAATATAATGACATATAGAGAATATAGCTTGCTGCTCATCCCCCCTCCCTTCTCCCATCAGCCACCACCAAAACAAAAGCAAAGAGCATCAAGTGTCATTAGGTATGCTTGCTGCATGCGAGCCAGTCTGACTCACTGCCCTGTGACCGAGTAAGGCTTTGCACATGGAAGCAAGCATGACCAGCTGCGAGCTGCAGCCAGCCCCTCCTTGACTTGGCTCTGACACTGGTCATGCAACTGTCAATTGACTGAAATTTTTGATAAAAAGCCTGGCTCTCACTGAAAAAGACTACCTTTGGAATTCCAGTATAGCTACACAGAAAGCTTGCACACATCCTTGAAGATAAAATCTCACTGCACTTTCAGTACTCTCCACCTGATACGTTGTAGTGTGTTCCTGGAACCTCCTTACTGCTCTTTTTCATAAGCATAATTCCCAACATACTAGTCAGACTACAGCATTATCTTACTTTTGAGAGAATGGTTTCAAGATCTGCCAGTCCCAGCCTCAACCTGGCATGGTCACCCACAGTTTTTTTTGCCCCATTTTTGCCTCACCAAGTCTCTTCAGTGAACTGCAATAGCTTTTCTTCAAGGCTCTGTTTTATCTTCGTACAGGGGAGAAATGTGAAGTCGGTAAACTCAGGTTGCTTTTTAGCTTGAGGTTAATGCTGGGGAGAACTGTCAAAAACACCCAAGCAGTTTGAGCACCATTTCCAACCCATCTGGATGTGGTTGTGCCTAGGAAAGTGCCCAAAGCAAGCGGATGCTTGAACAAGTGAGATGTTCAAACACCCAACTCCCAAGCACTTCAAATCCCTACATGCATGGCCTGTAAGACTTAGTCTTTTACATCTCTTACGAAATACACATCTTTCCTTTTCATTTTACCAACTGAAGTGTTGTAAGAAGCTTAACTCTTGTGTTAGCAACAATTCCAGTCTCAAAAAATTACTCCAGAGTGTTTTTTTCCAGGTAAAGTCTGTGAAATCTATCAGTGCTGCATTAATACTGTGTCATTATCTGCAGTACATAAAAACCATCTCTTAGACAAGAAAAAAGCCTTGGAACAGTCTTAGCTCAGGGGAAAATGTAGCTGCTTATTGAAAAACTGAGATTATATTTACAAACAGTGCACGCAAATAATAGCTGAAGCATAAATCCTTGGAAAACCTAAGCTAATGCAGTCAGAGAGGCTGGAGCTACCATGGGTTCTCCAGAACTGATTTGCATGAATCCTTCCCAATTCCTGGAAGTAACCAAGGGATTCAACCCATTTAATTTGAACTAAGCAGCTCTGATTCCTGGAAACTGGCACCCACAAAAAGCAATTTGTCTCATATAAGAACGGGTACTTATAGCAGGTGAATCTTTGTCGCTCCCTGAAGACACACATTTCTCTAATAATTATGGAGGAAATCTGAAGGATTGCTTAGGCGAGGGCTTTACTTTCAAATGCCTGAAATTAAAAAGCTGATCTTTAGTGACTGTATTATTTCCGTAACCCTGAAAATCCTACTTTACCCCCTTGTGTTTCTTTGCAATCTAGATGATGGATAGTGGATGGTCTACCAAACCATATCAATACGGAATCCATTTTCTAATCTTAAAAAAGCCCTGACTTTACCTTGGGGAAAAGACTTCTTAGTGTTAATTACACATCATGTGAAATTCTTTCAAAATCTTATTTAAGTTAGATGTCTTTCAATTTCTGAAAGTTCTTTCTGCTTTAATTATGAGAAAGGATTGTTTGTATTATCTTCTATTTTCTTTCTTTCTTTCTTTTTTTTTTTTTTTAAAAAGTTGCTCAGATTATCTACTTATATCCTTGTTTAGATGCTTAAGGAATTTAAAAGCTAATGCATCCTAAGCTGCTTCCAACAAACTAAAAAGACAGAAGCTTGGAAATCTGTTTCACTGCCTATCTTTAAAAACACAACATGTACCTTTTTGACACAAGGTGACCGAATTGCCAGAATATGTACAGGGGCAGAGAAAATCTGTGAATTATATTTAACAGTGCAACCCACTTCCATGTATGTAAATTAGCATTATCCTGGTTTATCAAGGCCTTTTTTTTTTCTTTTTTTTTTTTTTCTTTTCCAGCAGGAGTAAGGCAAGAATTTACGCACAGTCATCTTAAAATGCTTCTGAATCAACGATGACTACTATCAGAAAGCAGCTATTCAACTCTCCTTTAAAAAGAACATATGTTAATAAGAACAATATGTTCTTATTTTCAAAAGAGCTTTTTTAAATTTAACGAAGAATGGTATTTGAGCCAGATTTAGAGTAAAACAACACATTTAATAAAGACCAATGTAACTATTCAGACTTTCATACGCTAACATTTTACTCAACTCTTTATGATTTAACAAACTCTAATTTATCACGCTTTTGAGAAGTTGAAGTATTTTCCCATATCTGTTACCAGGAAAAGGCCAGAATGGAGTAAGCATGTGGACTTAGAGCTCAGGCCACAAAATACATGCTTTGGCTAGTGAGTAAAACATGCCAAAGTGATGGCATGGCACACAGAACCTTTAGTAGCTGTTATGAGTGATGAAACTCAAATAAAAATAGATGGATGATGTGCACCATCCGATGCATTCAGAAATGCCCACAGAATTCATTTAAGTATGGCACAAATAAAGTACAGAGACAGATGTTTCCTGAAGGCAAGCACCAGCCTGACACAAAATAAAGCATACTATTGTCTCCCCTCTGTCTACCAATATGAGGCAATAGGGATGTTTGTTTTCTTTGCCTTTTTTTTTTAAGTTTCAAGGATTAGAAAACATCGATTTATTGAACTCCTGAAAATCTACAGGAAGTAGCTGGAAAGTCCAGAACTCCCCTCATAAAGCAGACGGGTTCACTGCTAATTAGTGAAGGAGCGTCTTCATGTGGAGAAAAATCAATAGCAAGCAGTAGAAGAGTGCTTAAAGGATTTGTCTTCACATTTTGTGACAAAGTTACCACGTAAGTGGCACAAAGCCAAATCTTTTTCTAATCACCCTCCTCAGGCCACTGATGTTAGGCACAACAACATTCAAGCAATAATTCCCAGGTCTTGTCTTCTAGCTGCTTTGCTTTGATGGCAGGCCCCCATTTCTCCCCAGCCCACTGGTGCTCATTTGTGGGGTCTTGTTTTGAACGCAGATTGGCTTGGCCATGTGCAAGGGGCTGTGTGCCTTTCAGCTTCCTTTGCAGAAGAAACCCCCAGATTCACACCCTCCCTTAGCCCTGTGTGATGCCCCAGCCCAGGTGGGGTAGCCTACGTCTGTCTTCACTCATCAAAGGCAGAAGTACATTCTTACCCCTCTAAACTTGCCCAGGGAAGTAATGGCTCGCTTTCTGAGATTTGCTCTTAATTATTGCAATTGGAAAGAGCAGTTCTGTTGAGCTCATCTAATTTTCTCCAAGTAATTAATTACCCTCTGAATTGCTTACCCTGTTTATTTCCTTTCTCCTAACTTTGCAAAGGTATGCCATGATTATTCAAAACATACTAATGTGTAACCACATATCTGATTGTTTCCACACCATACAGATTCTGCAAAGCCTTTAGACACGTTTGTGTTTCACAATCAGCACAGGCAGGGCTTGCTGACAAAATATTTAAAATGTATGGCCTTTTAAAACAATAATCATGATTTATGGGTTCACAGAAAGACCTGAGGTATTTAATATCTTCCAGAACACTCTCTCAAATCAATAACCACTGATGGATTTTTTTCTCAACTTCTTAAAGGATGACACCTGTCAGTGGAAAGATTAGTGCTTTACAATCACCATCCGACATTAACACAGCCATCACAAAAGCCATAGATAAAGAGGCAAAACCCAAAGCTAAAACAGTTAGATATTAACCAAACAGTGCTGCAAAAAAACTCATGGAGCACTGGAGAGCAACAAACAGAATCTGATGCTGCAATCAACATCAGTGGGCAAGAAAGGCACACAGATAGAAGTGCAATCTCTGATGTTTTTACAGCATAAGCAGGGTTTCTGTCTCTGGGGTGCACACAAACCCCACATCCTGACTAAATACAAATGTGCTATATCTTCACTTGGCAGGAAGCTTGTAAGTACTTCATTCTGTGCAGTGTGCAGCATCTCCAAGTGGTTCTGCTGGGTTTGCTTTAGGCTGCCTGCTAAAAGTTTGCTCATGCAGAGATGTAGATGAAGATTACATAGAAGCAGCACTGTGCTAACCATGGGGACTATGAAGCACAGCACTTTCTGGACAAGGTCCAGGAAGTTGTGAAGCCAACCACTGGGCTGATGAATGCATCATACTAATGGACTACAGCTCTTGCAGCTCTCAAAGCCATATGGGACACAAAGATCATAGCTTGAGCTCCTGAACTTTGTGTAGTGGGAGATTTCCCAAGGGAGAGAAAAACCTATGCCTCATTTTCAGAAGTATCCAGATCATTTGGCCATACTTGCAAAAAACAAAAACAAAAAACCAACAACAAAAACTAGTCAAGTCTTGCAGTGACAGAGAACGCTGTGCTGTGCAGTGACAGAGAATGCTAGGCCCAAGCAGTGGCTCAGGATCTCTGGTTTTACCCTGCTACCAGGTTTTTCTTTCCTGGACTGGAAATAAAAGGACGGTTCCTTTCTGAAAGGCATCTATGGTGTTGCTGTTTTCTCAGTCTGCTGTCCCAGAAGTTAAAGGAGTCCAAAACTGCAGCATGCAGCACAGCTGGCTGGGAAGGAAAAGTTTTCAACGTGTCATTCTTCATAGCCCAGTCAAGATGTCTTGCTACTTTGTCAGCAGGGCCATATGAAAATTTTAGAAGAAAGTCTGCTCTTTACAGGCACTGCAATTTTATTTAATACTGAGTTACAGGTAATGCACCAGTCGGGATTTCAGGTCATGGGCTCACTGTGGATCCTGTAACCGTTTGCACTCACTAACTTTTGTTTCAAACTCTGTGCACCTTTCT